AACAGGAACTCAGTCCTCTGTCCTGGTCATTGCCCACCACTGAGAGGCTATTATTAAAACCATGGGTTTGTTTCAAAATGTTTCACGAGCTGGTGGACAAATTGTAATAAAACTCACAGAAAATACTCATTGGATGTACGTACATGTACAACTGATTAACTTTTGAAATCACCCTGATTCAAGATGGCCTCCACTGCCAACTAATTATAGGAAACCCAGAAATTATGATGTCAGTCAGTTTTACAAATACTGAGCTAAAATCTGATGTCACTGAGTCGTTCACAGCTTATTGTTTTTCAAGCTTTGACCAAAACTATGTCACTTCTGGCTTGAATGAATGAATGAATGAATGAATGAATGAATGAATGAATGAATGAATGAATGAATGAATGAATGAATGAATGAATGAATGATACTTCATTGATCCCATGAAGGGAAATAAACGGTACATTACAGAAGCTGATCTTGGCAGCAGGTCACACTTCAGGGGATGTTAGACCTTTCCTGTCCACCACAGCCCAGAAGACGGCGGTCACTGATGTCCTCTCTTCACTGGTTTTATTTCTTCTCCATTTCAAACCTGTCAGAGAAGTTTCTGGGCTGACAACAAGGAAGCTGATGTTTCTTCCTCGCTCTGCTCCTGAAGGCAGCCCTGCTTCTCTGGATGCTGTGCCCCCTCCATCTGGAAGGAGGGGATCCCTGAAAGGCTGAAGTCAGAAGGGAAAAAATTAATCAATTATAAAAATGCTGCCGGTGCTAAACCCACAGATTACATGACAGATTGTGACATAACTGGCTGCAGCCATGCTCTGCAAGAAGGATGTGATGTTTTTCTCACTGCAGCAAGTCTGAGTTATAAACAAGTGCTGACGTCTCAGGTGGAGCACACTAAGATAATCTGTCTGTAAAAACACACAAAATGCTGAAAGCTCTAACAGCCTATTGAAGTTGAACACTTAAAGTTTAAATCTTTTCTGGAGCTAAACACAACAGTTGAAGAAAAAATCTTTCAACTCCCCCTTTAATTATAAACTGTTATTAGGCAGAGTAATACGTTTCTAATAATGTGGTTGTTTCTTTTTTACTTTATTTCCATCACCTCGCAGGGTTAAAATGCCTTTATAGTTTCTTACAGGATGCTACTTTTACATAACTGAGTTTTAGAATACAATGAATAATTAATTAAATTTATTGGCCTAAAAACAATATCATAACTTGATTAATTTATAATTCTAAATAAGCAGCATAGTCCCATAATAAACATCGCAGTTTATTAGAAACCAGTTAAATTCTAAAACACGTTTGTGTAGCAGGACACTTGACAAATCCTCATTTAGGGAGTGATTGTATCTAATCTGTGGTCTCTCCCACCTACCTGCTGAAGCTTGTAAGTCCTTCAGAGTAGTTCCTTGTCTCACACCGCTCTCTTTTTTCCAAAGTCACTCAGTTTGGGAGGACAACCTTCCCCTACTGGATTTACAAAACCCAAAACTTACAACCTGAGGACAATGACTGGCCCGGACCAGTGACCTACCGCCAAAGTTCAAGATTTAATAATTATTATAATAACTGCAAAACATTGGGCTCCTTGGTTAAATTTAGTTTTTATTTCAGATATCTTTTGTCTTCTGTTGTGCTGGCAGTGTTGTATAAAGTACCTAAAAGTAATACTTGAGTAAAAGTACAAGTTTGTTATTATACAGTGACTGGTAAAAGTTAGTCTCCTCTAAGAATAGTACTTGAGATAAAGATAAAAATGAGGCTGAAAAATAATTATTCAAGTACAGATAACCAACATTTCTGCTTAAGTACAGTAACTAAACATTTGTACTTTATTACTTTACAACTCTGACATGACCATGAGGCTGACACTCTGTCTACTTTTAAGATTAGACTGAAGACTTTCCTTTTTCATAAATCCTATAGTTAGACTTAGGTTTCCTGAATTCTTCTTCATTTCTGCTGCTATAGACTTAGACTGCTGGAGCACAAACTGAGCACATTTCCTCACTCTGCTGTTGTCTTTAGTCTCTCTTCTCTACATGTTTATTCTTATTATTTCTATCATGTTTTTTCTTTGTCTCTTCCAGAAGAAGGTGCACCTGGACCAGTCCTGGACCAGTTCTTCTGTGTTTGTCTGTGTCTCTTTCCTGTCCTCCAAGCAGCCGGTCGAGGCAGATGGTCTCCTGTCCTGAGCCTGGTTCTGCTGGAGGTTTCTTCCTGATTAGCAGGGAGTTTTTCCTCTCCACCGTTTGCTCAGGATGGAGACTGTGATGAAGCAAAGATTCGTGCAGTCTGCTCTTCTTCAGATTTATTGTTTTTTTGTGTACAGTGCCCTGAGACAACAGTTGTGATTTGGCACTGCACTATGTAAATGAACTGAACTGAGTTGGACTGTGTGCTCGCAGTAAATAAGGACATCAAGATGGCTGCACAAATTCCCACCTTGTATGCCTAGAGCAGAATGTGATTGACTTTTCTATTTATTTTCCATCTCAGTGAGGACAACAATCTACTTTTGTCCTAGATCAGGACTGTCCAATCCTGGTCCTCAAGGACCATGACACACCTGCTTCAGTGGCTGAATTACCTGTTGAAGATCTGCAGCAGCCTGTTATTCACCCATTCATTCAACCAGGTGCCAAATTATGGCCTTCAAAACCAGGACTGGACACCTAGGCCCTAAATGCTTCAGACCAGCTGTCAGCTTGTCTTTCTGGCAGGACATTAAGTCTACCAAAGGAGGTCTACCAACGAACTATTTACAAATTCTATTCAAATTCAAAAATACTTTATTGATTCCAGAGGGAAATTATTACAACTGCTATATTAATTAATAATAGGTTTTTACACAGAATGGCACTTCAAACTAATGAAAATATTCCTCTAATGAAACTGAATATAAAGTAGCTCCCATATGCAACACGTTGCTAACACACGTCTACTTTACAGCTAAAAGTCTCACTTCACGAACATCTAAGGTAAAAATCCACCCAGTACTCAGTTTATTACTCTGAGTGCATTAAGGAGCTCTCAGTATCTCCAGGTGTATAAACTGTATCAGAACAATGAGTGGAGACCACCCTTGTCTTCTCTCAGCCTCAGACATCCTCTGTTTGAAGGGACAAAGCTTTGTCGGATCATTCTTCTGAGAATGAAGAGTTGGTCCTGTGCTCATTTATCCTCTTTGTCTTCCCCTTCAGCCGTTCACTCTCTCAGGCCTTTTCTCTCCCCTGTAATTACAGCAGCTCTGTGAAGCGTGGCTCGAGGCGTGGCTGGGCACAATCACTTGTGTGAGGTTCGGACAGGAACAGATCCAGGGCGCAGGCAGGCTCAAAAATGTAACAAAAATTTATTTATAAATAACTGAAGGAGGGCTGCTGGCAGCAAACTTACAAGTATGGAGAGTCACAGGCACGAGGGGAACAGAGCACGAGGAACACATGGAACAATCAACAAACAACAATGATCCGACATCAGACTGAGACAGGACAGGGTTTAAATACACAGACTACTAATTACTAAACTGAAAACACCTGGTGAGAAACACGAGGGTGACAATCAGACAGACAGGGAGCAGCTGAGCTGTGACACACTGGGGAACACTGAAAACACTAGAAAACTAAGAAAATAAACACAGATCATGACAACTTGTTAATACGACTGTGCAGAGTGTGTGAGGAGCAGGAGGAGGAGGTCTCCTCGCTCACAGTCTCTGTGGAAACATTAGACTGAACAGCCTGCACCTGGATGGCCCTCCTGAGACACAGGTGAGGAGGCCTCACTTCAGGGATATGTGAAGTGAGATCTTACATTTTCACAATCTACCTGCTGCAATTACACAAGTATAATGAAGAAACCAGAGGAACACTGCAACTATAACTGCCTTTTGTCTTGGGAGGCTTTCACAGCTAAATGAACCTGCAGAGCTGCACAAGGACATGAGGAAGGAAGAAATAAATACGACTGTGTGCAATATTACAGACAGCACCCCCCCCCCCCATCTGAGTCTGACACTGCTGTTATTGAACAAAAGTCAGCCTGATGAGAAGATTTACAGTGCCTAAGGTTAAAGCAGAATCATAGCACGTCTTTTCTCACACAACTGACAACAAAAACGGCTTTTTATTCCATCTAAAGCACACTGATACCCCAGTGACGCTGCTCCGCACACATGTGACAAACTGTGGAGGAAAATGTGCATTAGGACATACATTCAGCTTCAGGCGATGTGTGGCCACCTTAAGAGAAGCTGTGAGTTCCCCAGGGAGAAAAAAAGAGATTACTCTACATCTATGAGCTCTCCTAAAAGCTGAGGGAGTTCACAGTCCTTCCTGCGTTCAGACAACACAAACACAATCCATTTAAACAGCGAGCCACTCACAACCTTCACAGGAATATCACACATGAATTATTAATCTGCACTGTGGTGGACGGCTGACACACTAACAGCAGACACCTTATTTGTCTCCTCGTGGAGGTTTGCTCCCACTAAAACAGTGCAACACAAAAAGCCAAGACGCTTGAGCTCATTACCATAATGCCTCTGCAAGCCCCACGAGATTCTCACTTCCGTTTGTCTTCATTTGCATGTTTCACAGAATTTAAACACCTTTTTTTGGCAGTTGGAGCATATTGAAATGCTTACAATGATGGGTTTGAAAGATGTTATCTGGCTGCAAATTAAAGGGGGATAACAGCTGGCTACTCTCATCACCTGAGCTCCTTCAGGTGCTCACATTTTCAGTTCCAGACTTTCCATCACACATCACTCGCTTCTTAATGAAAACAGCACTTCAGCTGTTACTGTGAAGATAAAAGTGCCTCAGCTGAAGCACACACATTGCTGAACTTGTTGACAAGTTTGGGCAAGATTGACTGTTTGCCATATGCTTCATGCCTCAGGAACGAGTGTGTGTAAATGTGTGTGTGGCCCTTAGTAAAACCCACAAATCTCATTCCTTTCAGCTGACTGATTGAAGGCCTTCAGTGGAGACAGATACCAGCAATCCAGAGGCTTTTTATTTAGCTAAATATTGTCACAAAAAGAGCAATCACATCCATCTAATATATGCAGAGTAATAATCAGTCAAAAAGGCAATGCATGATACATATTCACATATTAAAAAAGATCAACTCCAGCTGTGTAACATGTGTCTGTGGCAGAGGCAGAATGAGAAGGATGCAATGATCGTTAGTGTTTTTAGGACCTAGTGTAACGAATGCCTTCAGTTTTTTCCTGAAGGAGACGTAGAAAATAAAAAACATTTGACTCCAAAACTGATTTAGGGTTCATTATCCATGCAAACCGTTAGCTGCCCAGTACATGTGCAGGACATGCATCAAAGGGACGTCAAGAAAAAGATCTGAAGAAGCACTGAGATGCAACATGTGATTAAAGGGATGCTGGGAAACAGGAAGGCTTTCATGCAAATCTTAGGAGAATAAAGTCATTAGACGTGCTGAACGGAGCCCCAGATTCTCCTCATACATCTGAATTGATGCTCAGGTTGGCCAACCGTGGGTCAGAGTTGATCTCGTATCTGTATTGATAGCCCTCCATGTGGTCCCTACAAGCATCCCGGATGTTGTAAATCCACCTCTTGATGCCTTTCCTGTTCAGGTAGAGCACCAGCAGGAATATGAGGCCGATCAGGGCCAGCACCAGTCCCAGGAAGACGTAGGACGTCTCCAACACACTGTCCAAGTCGCCCGGACACTTCAGCTGGGACTGCTCCACCTGCAGGAGGGCTCGGCCTTTCAGGGTCTCCGGGGCCATGCAGGTCAGGTTCTGTACGTCCACCACCTGGGTGGAGTTCTTCAGCCACCTCAGGAGGTCCTCGCTGAAGCAGGTGCAGCGCCAGGGATTTCCCACCAGCTGGATGCGGAGGTCAGGTATGAGGCTGAAGTCCAGCAGCGTGGCCACGGGCAGGTCCTTCAGTCTGTTGTCCCTCAGGTCCAGGTCCTGCAGCAGGGAGCTGTTCCACAGGACCCCGGTCTGGACCGTGAGGAGGGAGCTGTTCCGTAAGTTCAGGCTTATCAGTTTGGAGAGAGCCGTGAAGATGCCGTCCGGCAGACTCACCACATCGTTGTTGGACAAGTCCAAGCTTCTGAGCTGAGACAGGTTGGAGCTGCGGAGGAAAGACAGCAGCTCATCGGTGAAATTATGATTGTATAAAGACCTGCTGAGGTTCAGGACCTGCAGCTTACTGCCTTCAGGGAAAGCTGTTTCACTAAAATTCTGGATCCTGTTATTACTCAGGTCAAGACGGGTTAGCTTTGGCAAATTTTGGAAAGCCTTTGCATCAACAGACTCCATCTGATTTCCACTCAGATAAAGTTCTGTGAGGAGGTCCAGGGCTGGGAAAGAGTCCTCACTAATGTGGGAAATGTTGTTTCCTGTGATGAACAGGAGCTTGGTATTGGCCGGGATGGATTGTGGAATCGAGTCCAAGTCCTGGTTTTGGCATTTTACAGTCTGTGAGGAGCACAAGCACCTGTCCGGACAGGACAGGTAGGACGGCACAACGACAGCCAGCAGGAAAAGGAAATGCATCGTCCCGGACTTGTGTAGTCTTCCCGGGTCCTCCCTGTGGTCAGAACCGCTCCACAAGCTCCTCAACAGACGCATCTTAAGAATCAGTTTTCAATAAGCTGCTGTCTTCTTCTTCTGAGAACAAAAGTTTCCCTGCAGCAGTTCCCTCCTTACAAACCGATCCAAGTCGTAACTCCATAAAACTGCCCTCATGGAGTCCTTGTTAAAAGTCTACATCTCCAACAAAACTTCTGCTGTTCTCCTCCCGACCTCAGGCTTTCACAGATTCTTCCAGAAGAAACAAACAAACAAAAAACACGGTTAAATCACTGAGGGAACAAATTTCTTCACAGAAAACTCACTCAGGTTGTAGTTCCCAGACATAAACCCGTTTCTCCCACTCCTGCCATCTCTCACGCTTCCAGCCGAGCCAAGAAGAAAGAGCAGAAGCAGCAGCAGAGAGGACCGAAGCAGTCCACAGACACGGAGCGTACCATTATCCTCCCACAGGGGGGGGGCACTCCTGTCTTCATTACATTTAACACACACACACACACACACACACACACACACACACACACACACACACACACA